AAAATTCTGTCAGTATTTACTCAACCTCATGTTGTTCCAACCCCGCAAGACCTTCGTTCATCTTCGGAACACAAATTAAGATATTTAAGATATTAAAATCGCTCCTGCATACAGTCCATAGGCTTCTTGAGGGACTGGCTCTTGCTGTCCCCGAAAAGTCATTAAAGACATCGTAAAAATAGTCCAAGTGACTACAGGGGCTCAATCTTAAGTTTATCAAACGACGAGAACACTTTTGTGCGCAAAAAAACAACAAAAATAACGACTTTATTTCAACTATTCACTTCCTTCTCCATGAGCCTGTAAGTCAGTTAGCGTAGTGTGATTGCGTAGAGCTACGTCACACGTAGGCTCACTATTGGCCGACGCTGGTCATGTGTGTGTGATGCGTGTGACGTACAATGACAGAAACTTACGCTATTAAACTAGTAACCTGACTCGCGCAGAGGGAGAAATAAACGAATAGTTGAAATAAAGTCGTTATTTTTGTTGTTTTTTTGCGCACAAAAGTGTTCTCGTCGTTTGATAAACTTAAGATTGAGCCCCTGTAGTCACTTGGACTATTTTAACGATGTCTTTAATGACTTCGAGGACAGCAAGAGCCAGTCCCTCAAGAAGCCTACGGACTGTATGCAGGAGCGATCTTAATATCTTAAATATCTTAATTTGTGTTCCGATGATGAACGAAGGTCTTACGGGGTTGGAACAACATAAGGGAGAGTAAATACTGACAGAATTTTCATTTTTGGGTGAACTAACCCTTTAACACCGAAGTTAATACTATTAACTAATATGGAAGCAATATTAACTAAGCAGTAAGTAATAGGTAATTTAGTACAAAGGTAGTTCCTTGGTAGGTATTTGATCGTTACTAAAGAAATATATCCTCATTGAGAACTACTTGCGAACTAAGAATTAATAATCAATTAATTACTAAATCACAAAAGTAACATATCTAAAAAGTGAACAATTGTGGGGGTTTTATACTCTTAACATGATCATAACATTTCAGAAGCATGTGCCTCAAATGGGTTCTTTGTGGAAACCAGTTTATGAAGTTTATATATCCCCCCAAATACATTAGCTAGGTTGAGATTGTGACTACTACTCTTGCCAGGATGGACGCATGTTCTCTGTTTATTTAAAACTTAAACATAAAATAATACTAATAAAGACAGTTTTAAAAAAAATAAACCTTAAATAACTAGGAAGTGATGCTGACACTCTCATGATTGGATCAGTCCACTATTATAACTATGTTACAGTAGCTGCCTAAGGAGGACTTCTTTTTAGGACATGAATATAAACATTGATGTTCACTTGTCAAAAACAATTTGTATCTTTAATGAAGAAATTGGCTGCATTTATGTTACAATAAGCGCAAAACCACATCTTCCAGATTACAGTGTTTGTTTGATTATTAGTGCCTCACAGAACCTGTACAGTATGTGTCAAATATAAAATTAAATAACTTGTGTAAACATTGTGGGATGACAAGGTAACGCTTGTAGTTAGTTAGGAGTTAACATGTTTTTCACAAATGATACAAGTTATTTAATTTTATATTTGACACATACTGTACAGGTTCTGTGAGGCACTAATATTCTAACAAACACTGTAATCTGGAAGATGTGGTTTCGCGCTTATCGTAACATAAATGCAGCCAATTTCTTCATTAAAGATGCAAATTGTTTTTGACAAGTGAACATCATGTTTATATTCATGTCCTAAAGAGAAGTCCTCCTCAGGCAGCTACTGTAACATAAAGTTATAGGTCTTTGGAGTCTGAGATATATGTGACTGACATTCAATAGAGCTCATAATAGTGAACTAATCCAATCATGAGAGTGTCAGCATCACTTCCTAATTATTTAAGGTTTATTTTTAAAAACTGTCTTTATTAGTATTATTTTATGTTTAAGTTTTAAATAAACAGAGAACATGCGTCCATCCTGGCAAGAGTAGTAGTTCTCAATGAGGATATATTTCTTTAGTAATAATCAAATACCTACCAAGGAACTACCTTTGTACTAAATTACCTATTACTTAATGCTTAGTTAATATTGCTTCCAAATTAGTTAATAGTATTAAGTTCGGTGTTAATGCAGTGCTACCTATTACTTCCTGCATAGCTACTTGTTAACTACGGACCATTATTTTAAAGTGTTACCGGATTTTCCCCCAGGAAAACGATGAGGGCCTTCAGGACACTCTTCTTTCCGTGTGAATGTTTTCAGTCTGTGAAAAAGCATTTGTGATTATTTTTCTTATTTTTAAAATTCGGAGTAATCTGTAATGGAGAATCAGATTTCCCCAAGGATAGCAAAGGACAAGAAAATATAAACAAAACTTAATTTACAAAACTATAAAAGGTTGTATTAATGACTGGACAAAGTATATACATCACAGAAGTATAAAAAAAAATCATTATTCAGATATAAACACTGATGTCTACGTTACCGTTCAAAACAGAATTTTTTTTTAGGTTCACCTCAAAGAACATACACAGAGAAGTCAAAAATTAAAGATGATTGAATGACTCATAAATGTAAGTACACATTGATGGCCTAAGAAACGAAACAAGCGGTTTGTGTGAGAAAACGAACAGTATTTATATCGTTTTTACCTCGTGTAACACAGCCATGACAAAATGAACTGACGGCATGGGCGCTTCGGTCTGCGCACGCGCCGGAAGTGATCGCTTGCAAGTCAACGTCACTCATTGTTTACACAGAGATTTCAGAAGTTTTACCTTTCACTAAACATATTTAGATATATCGAAATAATCTTCCATTGCATTGCATGCTCTTTGAGGTGGTGACCATAGACCTGCATTATATGACTGATAGACAACGGTTTGACCGAAAAATATCAAAATTGAAAATACTGTGGAAACAAAGACATCTTGGATGCCCTGCCTTGAGGTAAGCTAAAACACACCAAAAATTAATTTCAAAGTGAACTATTCCCTTTAAATCAGCCAGTACTTGTGCACCTTTTACATGCACAATACATGTCACATCATAATCATTTTGAGCTTCAAAATTGGTTTACACTGTATAAACTAAAAAAAGATATTTCTGAGAATCAAAAAAGGGACATGCATTCGGGATGTCATAAGGGTGAGTTGATGCCGATTTTAGTTCTTAATTCTTTTAGTTTTAGTTCAAAATTCTTATTTAGGATAAATTGCAAGTCAATAGCATTAGACAACATTAGATGGAATTTACTCAAACATGTCCAACATTAGTAATTCATATTATCTATTATCAATAGAAGAAATTAGAAATTACTTAAATTAATAGAAAATACTTACCATGTAATGTTATAGCAAAGTGTCGTCCTCAATCGTCAAACTTGAAAAAGCTTTCGGTCATAAGGAGAGAAAAATGTTGTATCATTAGTATTTAACTTAAGTGGTAAAAAATAGTTTGCTACAGGTCAAGTAATTAATTAGTTGTGAAATACTACTATTTTCTACAAAAAAAATCATAATTTTAAAGAAAACCCCGATTTGTTTTCCTGCATGAAACACCTCGAGCTAGGCAAATTAAGCTAGCGTTAAGCACAGGCCACAGATCAGGGAATCAGGTAACGTTAACGTTAATAATGGGCTGACTCCCTGATCAGTGCCCTGGTTAACTTAATGAACTGATTGAGATGCACCCAATGGCGTTTATCACAGACTTTCAGCATCATTTTGGGCGAAAAAAGTCGATGAATAAGTCAGAGCTAACGTTTCAAAGACAAATAAAAGAACAGACAAAAAATAAAACTCAAATATTGTACTGCAGGAATTCAAATTCGAGCATTTTGTCCCGCTCCCCGACCACTTCCCGCCCAAAGCATTTCCAATTTCTCACGCGGCACAGACGGTTATCCTTTTTTAAACTATTTAATAACTGTTACACAAGTCCCAAGATCCAAACTGAACACATTTTTATAAAACAAACGAGTTAAGTTAAAGATAACATCATGTTTAACGTTAACTTGCATAGAACTATAATTCAGTAATGCTAGTTTGCAAACGTACGTTTAAAAATGTGGTTAATTGCGATTTTGTTAGTATTCATGTTCACAAACAACATTCATTAACTCATAAACAACTAAAACAAACGTCCAAAAGTTGCATATTTGAGTATATTAATTAAAAAACAAAACTTCCAACCTACCTTATTCATCCGAGTGCGAAAAAGAAAATGGCGGTCGAGCAGAAAGTTCCAGACAGGCTCGTGCGTCATGACGTCAGCAAAAAAACGTCTGACGCGAGGGTCCTTAAAGGGAAATTACACTTTGGGTGAAAGCGAGATATCTGAGTGTCTGTGAATTTCTATGCGTTCAAGTTGAATGAGTGTACAATAATCAATTACGATTAGGAAAGCAGAAATACGAAGTAAATAGACTCAAATAGTTCTAGTAATCCAACTTACACCCATATTCACTTTTTACAGTGTGGTTAATCGTTAGCTCGTTATCAAACTCACTTGCATTATTCATTTCTAGATTCTAGCTATAATTTTCCAAACTATTCAAACAAGTTATACCTAAAAATAAAATATCATGACCCCCAAAAGATGCAACCTCACTGGCCAAACGTGTACTTAGGGTTAATGTACCGTACTATACTGATGTGTGAATAGGAACGACAAGATCATATTTGGGACCGGCACCAGTCTCATTGTTACTTCAAGTAAGACATTTGTTTCATCAAATAAATAGTTTACTATAATAAAAAGTATGATTGAAACATATTTTTTTTAAACCTAAACAAGATGAAGAGAAAGGTTCATCATAAGTCATTTTATAATATTAATATAAGCATGAATCAAAGTGCTTCCCTAATGCATGTATTCAATAATTCAACAGTTTATTAGTGACTTTCAGTGAAAAGAATATATTTGAAAACCATATAAAGTTTACAACTAAAGGTTAGAGCAGCTACAGTAACATTGAATATTAATATATTATAATATAGATTAAAGTGTTTCATGTATTGAGCTACTTGTTTTCGGTATATGATCATTGGCTGTGTGAATGATGGATATAAGATTTTCTTTGGTAAGGGATCTAAAGTCATAGTACAATCAAGTAAGTAAATATTTTTCCAAATTGTACAGTTAAATTACAAATTTGGTTGGATAAAAATGGTAATAGTAGACATTCAAAATCTATTTATTTACAGTCATATCCAAAAATGCACTATGAAATAAACACCAAACAAGAGTGGCTAAAGTTGAATTCTGGGTAAATGTACCATGCTGTCCTAATGTGTGAATGCTGGCAATGGAAAGATCGTATTTGGAAAAGGCACCAGACTAACAGTTGATTCAAGTACCGGTATGTGTTCTGCTACTTACAGTAAACTAGATGCAATCATTTTAAACTTAAAAAAGTCTGTCAATTCTGATATATTCATCAAACCAATCAAAGTACTTGATAGCTATTAATGATACAAAATGGCTTCAATTTAATTTTGACATACTTTTGCTAAAACTTTTGTTTCCATTGAAAGATTGAAAACCTTTTAAATGACTTTAAACCATAACTGCATACATGAAATGCTTACTTCACAGAAATACAATTCACAAAGAGCATTAACATCTGTGTATGTCTGTATAATAATAGGTAACTGTGATAGGCTATAGATGATATAAATAGAGTCCCAATTATTCCAGTCAATATTTAAGGCTACTGTAGTTTGTATGACTTCTATAGTTATATAATTCTATAGTAATATTTTATTATAGGCTACTTTAAAATGAAAATCACCAATAAACAGTTGAATTAGATTCTTTATTCAGTTGAATAAAGTATTCTAAATGAATATAGCCCTTATTGTTTGGCTTTAAAGCAAGGAGAGTATTTAGGCAACATGTTTACGTGTTCGGATAAACCACTGTGTGACTCAAGGAATTAACAAAATCATTTTTGGAAAAGGCACTCAACTCAATGTCCTTTCAAGTAAGTGTAGATCAAGCTTGTCTTTTTATTTTATTTTATATTTTAAAACCAATGTTAAATTTAAAACTTTGTTCCCATTATTAAAGAGTATTGTGCACTTAACATGATGCGAAATTGCACAGGGGGGGGGGGGGGGGGGGGAACAATTATCGAAAGTAAATTGATGAAAAGAATTGTGATAACCTATTACTTTAGTAGTCTAAAATGTAATAGTTGTACACAGTCAAAATGGCCTTTTATGTAATCTTCAGAGCAAGATGTCATGCTCTTTATTTTAAATATAGTATAGTGGAAAATTACCATTTTATTTATTTTTTTAATCAGCTAAGCTTAAGTTCTTAGGGTTTCCATCATCATAACCCTAAAACTTAACTTTGAATTTGGGATCATCAATATGTAACATCAACAATAATAAGCATTTAATGAAGAACATTCAAACATCATCAATTCAAAATTTGGAATAATAACTTACACTTAACAGCTAAATTGTAGTATTATTTCTTAATTAGATTTTAGGAGATACTAATAACACTTACCCCAATTAAAGGACTGAAAACACCTTATCCAGTGATCATATGTTCAGCAGCAGTTATGTGTTTATGGTCAACAGCTGTGTGACTCAAAGTGGATTCAAAATTATATTTGGAAAAGGCACTAAACTAACTGTGTTTTCAAGTAAGTGTGGCTCAGTTCTCTTAAATATCGCATACTTTTTTCATGAAATATGGATGTTTTTATGATGCTTATAAGAGCAAAATAATTATTATCAGAACAACAAATCAACAGTGATCTTCCATCTTCTTAAAAATATTTGAAGGTATTTAGGTATTTTTTCTTGTAATACTTAATTCCCAGATAAATATATTGAAAACTCACTGCTTGTTGTTAACTTTAGGAAGTTAGTATCACATGCAAATATTGCAAGAATTGTTTGCTGTGTTTATGATATCAGGATATTGCTAGTTTTTAGTATATGGCCAATGGCTGTGTGAATGCTGGACTAAAACTTTTCTTTGGGATGGGAACAAAACTTCTCGTACAAGCCAGTAAGTTGTTATTTAATCTTAGTATGAATGCTTGAATGCTATAATTGAAACTAAATGAGGGCAATAAGTCAAGTCTGTTTTACAGTTTGTAAATATAAGTGACTGGATTTGAATAAATTGATGGCCGTCATTCCTTAAAAATAACTTTATAATAGTAAAAGAAAAATATACTAGAGTTGGGGTACTTGGACTGCAATTGTGAATAAACTTGGAATTGGACGCACTCGGGTGGACTCGGGTACGCAAACTTGATGTGAACTTGGACAGTCAAATCCACATCATGTGTTACACGAAAGAAAAATATACAAAATACATTAAACATATTCCTCACTAAAGCTCAATTAGTTAAGTGCTTAGACTCGACTCGGGCCCAACATCAAAAAAATTCCCTACATTTTGTGTTAAAATTGGAACAACAATGAACTATTTAATTTTTAAGGTGACTTTTCATTCCATTGTTGTAAAATCTCCTCTATGCTGTTCAGTGCCATCAGGATGTCAATACTTTTGTATACATGATAAATGACTGTGTGAATGATCAGATTAGAATATTATTTGGCAAAGGAACAAAACTCATTGTACAGTCAAGTAAGTTACAATATTCATACCAATATTTATAAAATGTTTATTTAAAAAGGCTAGTTTTCTCATATTTATGTTATAGAAAAACAAATAATGTAATGTTGAAGTATTTCAGATAAGATTGCTAGTAAACACAACTAATGTATTGCCATTTTAATTATAAAAAACAACAACATAATATTAACATAAAATCAAAGAACGGAACTCAACAGAATTTTATAAGGTTTGTCTAAATATTTAGTCTGTATTTTTGTTTATTTGTAGAAATGAATAATATCTCAAAAATGAATTTAATATAAACTATATCCACCCGACAACAGTCCACATTGACCTTAGAATAAATGCACTGTGCTTTAACGATGTGTGAATCCTGGAGGCACCAAGATCATATTTGGGACAGGCACCAAACTAACAGTTACTTCAAGTGAGTTAATTGCCTTTTCAAAAGATCATAAATCCATATTCTTGGAGGGCATTTATTTGGTATTTAATGGCTGGCAATGTTAATTTAGATATTTTTAAATGTTACTTACTATAATAGAATGCTATTATGAGGATATTATAGATGAGTATAATATTAGAAGTTCACATGTCTTAATGCATGTTGTTACATCAATTCTTTTGTCTTTGAAACATAACAGTTAAATACAGATTTTTATTCTACCACTAAACTTTGATATTAATGGATGTGTTTCCTTCTTTAAAGATTTCACACTAAATCTTAAGAGCGATTGTGACAGAATAGCTTACAGGGTTTATGATATCAGGATATTGCTAGTTTTTAGTATGTGGCCAATGGCTGTGTGAATGCTGGACAAAAACTTGTCTTTGGGATGGGAACAAAACTTCTTGTACTAAGCAGTAAGTTGTACTTTAATCTTAGTATTACATTTATTCTGTGATAAACCCGTTATTTCATTCACCAAACGTGACTTTGATTGTATTGTAAAACGAGAATGACATGTCACAATGTAAACACAATGCATTACAATAGATTTATCATGTAAACCATCAAAAAACTTCTGTTCAGTGACGTTGGACTTTGGGCTAACTGAACCAAAAAGAAAAGAACATTGACAAAAGATAAAAATGCCAATTCCAAAACCATTTGGTAAATTAATATTACACAAATATTTTAACCGCATTACTGGGTGGCTCTGACATCAAAATCAACACCGAAGTTTTGACTTGCTGTTTCTTGAAGTATTTATAACACTGACAGTCACTGTGTGACTAACAACTTTGACAAAATGTTATTTGCGAAGGGAACTCAATTGTTCGTACAGACAAGTAAGTAAAACCTTACTTTAGGTTTACCTTATGTTAAGTGATGTTGGACTTTGGACTAACTAAACCAAAAAGAAAAGAAAATTTGCTAATTGAAAAGGACAAAAATGCCAATCAAAACAATTTGGTAAATTCTGGGCTCAACAACAGTCATATTTGGGGCAGGCACCAAAATAATAAAGGTTTATCTTAAGATGTTCAGTATATTCAGAATATATTTATTTTTCAAGCACATTGAAAGATGGCCACTCTAAAAATGTTGAGGACATTAAAGAGACAGAAGTGTATGTGTAGTGAAATTTAATATTAAATTTACTGTTCCACCAAATGTCAGACATTTTCATAAAATGTTTTTAAAACCCACTTTATCCACAGACATAAGTGATTAATCTAATTCTTAATAGAATTTACTGTAATGTCAAATTACAAAACTCTTGTCCTGATCAGAGGAAAGAGTATCCAATGTATTTCTGTGTTGAGCTTTGTAATTGTGTGAATCAAAATAGAGTCAAGCTGATCTTTGGGCAAGGGACTCGGCTCATTGTGTTATCCAGTAAGTTATGGATTGACTTATTTAAAGTTTGCTCTAATTGATATTACTCAAGCTCTTTTCACTAATCCACTGATTGAACAGGTAGACTTGTATATGAGATTTGCACAGCTTTTTTAATGTAATCGAATTCTTAATTTGACTGATGTATTGATATATTTTAGGTTTTAGAAACTTTCCGAGTACAGTCGAATTCACATCATGTGAAGAAAAAATAAGTAACGACATAAAATTAAGATATAAATACATTAATAAACATCTCTCAAACTCAATGGTTAAGTGCTTAGACTCGACAAGGTGGACTCGTGAGAATGCGTTGGTTGAAATCAAACATTGCTGAGCAAATTTAGTTGTAATTCTTAGCATCATGATAATAGTAGTAAATATTTACCATGTATGATGTTTAAAGTTATTTTTTAAAGACTGAAAGACAGAATCCATGTACAGGACTGGTTTTTGGTTCAGAGTCGATAGCTGTGTGACTGATCAATTTAAGATTATCTTTGGCAAGGGAACCAAACTTACAATACAAGCAAGTAAGTTTTATCTCTAAAATTGAAATAATCACTAATTTATTTTACTTAAAATATTTTATTAAACTGCTGCATGAAAACGATTATATTTCATGCAATAGATATGTTTGTGATGATAGGTTTTCTTTC